GTTACAAATAGGTACAATGATTTAAGTTTTTGTAGAAATACTTTTAATAAAACCTTTTTAATACAAGAAAAATTTATAAAAAAAAATATAAATAACTAAGAAATATATAAATTTCTTAAATCTATGGGTAAACCTACAAAATTAAAAACGTTTTGCTTCCCCTACAAAATACATAGGTATTCAAAATTGGTGCGTTACACATACAGGATGTTTCTTAAGTAGAGGTCAAAAATCCAGGGGCGTATTCTATGGCCAAAAATAAGGGTTTTTTGCCATGTAAATGTGGGGACTTAGGACAGCCATCGTTTAGCTACAGCGTTTCAAAAAAAAAAAAAAAAAATCAGTTTTGAATTTTTAATTTCTGAACCGCTTGAGATAATTTAACAAAATTCGGTGTGCATATTTAGTATGGAGTAGGTAGGATTTAACATGTAGTAGGTATGAAACAAAAAATTACCAGCTTTATCAGTGGTAGAGGTGTGTGTATCATCGATCATTAATTGCAAAAAAATATATCACCCTGTATAATATTACAAATAGAATAGTCATCATATGCGCTATTGCATTATCTTCACATTTTGTGTCTTTACACTTTTTGTATTCCAAACCGGTTAACAACAAAATTGATTTATTTGATTAAGTGCATTTTTACGATACTCATTACATTACTTAAAATAATAACAAAATAATTAATTTTGTTATATATTTAAGAAACACCCTGTATAATTAAATTTTTATTCTGATTCCGAGAGATCTTTTTTTCTTTTTTATTTAAAATTCAAGAGCAAAATTTTTAAAATATGGGAGCATATTAGGCATTTCATAACATAAAATTTAATATTTTGAAATTTTTTTCTCAAACAAATAACTATTTGTACTAATTTACTATCATTGTTTTTTTCAATATAGTGTTTTAATTTTCAAAATTAAAGTTTAACTAAATAAAATATTTTAATAAAAATCCCTCCCCTGCCCCCTCTTGGCGACGCCTTTGTCCACAAGTAACGCAGGATTTGAATTGTGCGCCATTTTTATTCCGAAGAATTGGCAGTATTGTGCAGGGTCATATGTTGTAGTAAACATGTTGTGGTTAGACAAAATGGAGCGCTATACGACGGATGAATGAGTGAAGAATTCATTATAAGCACAGAGAGTGTGTAGCTGAGACTGTGCGCAAATTCCGTAGAATTTTCGGTAGAACGAACGTCCCGAATAAAACAACTGTGAAAAGATTAGTTACCAAATTTGAACAATCAAATTCGGTTGCAGACAACAAAAAAAAAACGAAAATATTGCTGCGGTGAGTGATAGTGTGGGGAAAATTCCCATACAAAACTTCTGCATCTGTATCCATTCAAGATTCAAGTGTCCGAGGAATTGAAACCAGACGACCATTTACTGCGCCTGGCATTCGTTGACTGGATGTTGGAGAATCAATAAGTAGACTGTTGAATTTAAGGCAGAGACAATCCTCGGGTCATTCAAGAACGACCACTGTGCACCCAAAGAATGACAATGTGGTGTGGATTTTACGCTAGTGGTGTGATTGGTCCCTTCTTTTTTGATAATGAGGCTGAAAAGGCAGTGACTGTCAGTGGAGAACAATATCGAGAGTTGCTTTTTGCGGTCTTATTTGGATGGCATGGTTTTCGATGACATTCCAGCAGGATGGTACCACCTGCCATTCGATACGTAAAACTATCCATTTGTTACAGCCGAAGTTTAATGGACGACTCTTCTCACGTAACAGTGAAGTGATTTCACTGGCCATCAAGATCGTACGATCTTACTCCATGGGACTTTTTCCTGTTGGGATTCGTACAGTCCAAAGTTTATTCTGCTCAAATGAATACCATTCCTGAATCAAAGCAGAAATTCGGAGAGTTATCAACGAAATTCATCTGCAGATACGAGAAATCGTGTGATTGACCGTTAGGTCGTATGTTCGAATAATGTACTGATTGAACTTAAGATGCGTTGAAATGAATCGATGTTGATACTTGAAAATATGTTTAATGACTGAGACTGAGATCTGCTTACAGACTATTTACAATAAAATAAATGTTCTCCTACAATTTCCCTACTTACTAAACCGGGGAGGGTTTACCTATCCCTTGGTCAGGTACCCAGTTCTTAGAGTAACAAATGAACTTTATTGTACGTAAAACCGTACATCGTGATACAGAATTTTCTTAAAATCGAGTGTGCCAAATGAGTCACGGAGGACATCTGTCCGATATCCTCTTTCATATTTAATGGCAATGTCTACCCTTTAAAAACATGTCAAAACTTTGCGCCAACTTTTTAATTAATAAAAAAAAATAAAGTCCGGTCCCTATTTGTTTATTTATTTGGGAACATACCTGTGTGTTTGAAGTAATGATGTGTGGCCCAGGCGAAATAACCCGTAAATACTGATAGGACTGTCAGATTGACCACATAAGATTGGTGACATTTGAACCAAGTCGTGCACGCGGTTTTCCTGTCGATAGTTTCGACTTGGATTTTGTGGTCAATCGGCAACTCTTCAAAGTTTTCCTGAAACATGAAGATTTTTATTTAGTTTATAATATTCCAGAATTATCTTGGATAAGTCCTAAATCCTTTTTTGTAGACACGTTGTTTTTTCCCGTTTGTGTTAATGTTTTATCATTGAATTAACAACTTCTTGCTATCTCTTTATTTTAATTCTACTGTTTTACGTGATTTTTGGATGGTATTTAAAATACATTTTCTCTTACCTTTATGATGTTTTCCGAGGACGACATCCCGTTCATACTGGTTGGGACCGCTTGCTTCGATCAATCCCACTTGCGTGCCATCAAAGTAAAAAACTTCTTTCAGACACTTCGCTGTGCATTCTAAGGATCAAGTGGATTGATGATAACGACGATAACATTCGATAAGATTCTGAAACCATATAGCCAAGTAGAGACATATTATTTTTGGATTGTACTGGGTGACACACCCTTCTTTCGTTTGTTAAAGAAAACAGTTGAATGTCAAGTTGAAAAGCACATTCAAAGGTGACTTTTTATGAAAAATCAACACGCTTGTACTGATTAGTTCTACTTCCTGTTTAGGCGGAAATAATTTTGATTTTGTTTAGTTGTATTAATCGTATTTTCAATTATTTATTAAATGAAATACAATAATATGTCGGATATTTATATGTATAGCTGCAATAAAAATTGTAGTAAGATTATCGTAGTTAAGATAATGATATTTGGATGTTTAGAAATCCCCGTGGCAGAGTATGATTTGTGTAAAAATTACTTAATACTCATTGACAACAAATTTATCTTTATAAGCTCTTGTTTTTGTTTTTGCGAGGAATTCTCTGCGGGTTTGAAATATTTACGAAATGAAACGAAATGGTTGAGAACCAAAGTTATTTACGGCCAAACTGAAACAGTAAATGTGTAATTATTAGGGCTGTCAGAACTGAACCGCGGGACATAGGCGTACTCATTATTTATTAAAAAGCAACAAATTAAATTGTCTACAATACACCACCATAAACACCAACGCATAGGAATTAATTACGCAACATTCGCAGGATAAAATATCAACAGTATACTAACGTGATGTGAACGTGAAAAGCATTCTGAGGCAGCGGCTTGCGCATGTTTCGGTTGACCCGCTTGGTACGCCATTGAATTGCGTCTCTCTCTGACAGCCCTAATAATTATCATGGGAATAAATTATTATTTTTATTACATATTTTTAAAGTAGACGCGTCATA